ATCAAGTGGCCTCCAGGGGGATCTGCGGTACGTTAGTAGGCTTATAAAGCTAAAAATCGTGTTTCGATGCCCAAGATGGGCAGAGCACAAATAAACCATTCTGTAGCTTTATGCTTTACAACAAACAAAATATATCAAGGGTTAAAGGCGAGGCATATTCACATGTATCATATAAACATCTCTGCAGCTTTTAATAACGGTTAGAATATACCCTTCCAATCAATATTAATATACCTACCTTTTTTTTTTTTACCAAAGGGAACACTTATCAACTTTCTGAGAATGCAGTGTGTACGTTTCCCACACCCAAACCACAATTTCGCTGAAGATGTCTTTGAATACTGTGTTCTACATTATGAAGTAAAACAACGCATGGTCTATCAAATATGACCTCCTTGCACGGCCATGATGCTTAAGATAAAGTACACAGTTACGTCAGAATTATAACGAAACACGTGACGGTTCCTCTACAACAATGCTAGAATTATCAGGCATAAAAGTTAACCGATTGCTAAGAAACGAGGTATTAGCATATTTGTAACTCCACTGAAACATTTTAACATGTTAAATTGTAACAATTAGATTAAATAGCAGAAACGGCGTCCTACGGGAGGCTGTTTGTTCTAGTAATTACTAATCGTAACATTTATACCTCATTCAATAAAAATTTATAAAAAGTGAACATTTTCTGAAAATTGATTTTTTTTTCTCAGAAGTACTGCACGGGAAAAGTGTTCGGATTGTACTCTTTAATCATACAAAACTTATTATATCAAAATGATTTCATGTACAAAGCTCAAAAGTTTCACTAATTTTACTGATATAAACTGTAATGTTTTTTATATATTAAACGTGGTACCGTTTATTGAAAAAATAATAATAGCTTTTTTAAGAACTCCAGTTTCTCAGTACTACATTTAAACATTACACCAATAAAGATATAACCAAACCTTCACGTACAGTTCTAGTGAAAGTCGTGTTCTTGTTGTGAGGAGAGTACTTTTATTTAAAATTATGTTCTGTTATAAAGAAATGGTTCTTGCACATACTGTAGTTATTTTTCTAATTGTCTGAATCTTGAATACTTAAAGTGAGAAATTTTTTATGGATGTTTGTTTGGGGTGCCATTCAATAGATGGCGCTGAAGTTTAGGTTACATACATAGATACTGACATCCACACTCCGTCTATTATACTAAAATTTTGATGGAGAACCAAAACCACGTAAAGTCAGTCAGATTTGTTGAAAGTTACAGAATCGACTTTTAGCGCTTTTCTGTATTCAATTAAACATGAAGCAGTCTAACACATTTTAACACGTGCCGCCAACGTTTCCAAAACGCATCACGGTAATATAAGTTTTAATTCCCCGTATATTAGAAAATCAGTTGAGATGTATATAGATTAAGGTGCTCACGCTGTCAGCATCGAAACCTACGCCAAAACGTTCTAACGTCCAGGAAATGTAATTAACCTTAACGACGGGCATATCCGCTCTAATTTTGTCTTATTTTCCTCACAGTAAACTAAAAGCAAGTAGATAATTCACGAGTTTAATTTACCCTTGAAAGATAGGACAAGGACATAATCTATTATTTAAATTTCAAGTTCTAATATTCATTTTACAGTTGCTAGAAATCACTTGCGGCAGCGAATTTTAACACAAACGTGAAGCGTATCATGAAATCCAAACTAATTGTGTGTTCGTGTTTGGCTTGATAATTACATCAGCAAAGGATGGTTTAGCATAAATATCTGTGTGTGTGTGTGTGTGTTGGGAGGGGGGTTCGGAAAAGCTTAATATGATTTCCTTAATTTTAATCAATCATAAATTCAATTATCGATTTCTTGTTCTCTTCTATCTATTTATAATTCTCTTTATTTCAGTCAATTATCTGCGTCTCTTTCCATCTCTCTGTTTTAATCTATCTATCTATCTACCTCTTTTGTCTATCTATTTTGATTGATCCATTTCTATAACGGTCTTTTCTCTCTTTTGATTTAATTATCCTATGTGACTTTCTTCTCTTTACTTATTCCATGTGATTTTCTTCTCTTTTCTATCTATCCTGTGTGACTTTCTTCTATTCTTTACTTATAATTTGTGACTGCTTTTTTCTTTTCTACTTATGCTACATGACACTCTTCTCTTTACTTATGCTATATATGGCAGTTTTTCTTCTCTTTTCTACTTATCTTATGTGACTTTATTCTCTTTACTTATTCTATGTGACATTCTTCTCTTTGCTTATTCTATAAATGTCAGTTTTCTTTCTCTTTTCTACTTATCCTATGTGACATTCTTCTCTTTACTTATTCTATAAGACCGTTTTTGTTCTCTTTTCTACTTATCCTATGTGACATTCTTCTCTTTACTTATTCTATAAGACCGTTTTTGTTCTCTTTTCTACTTATCCTATGTGACATTCTTTTCTTTACTTATTCTATAAGACCGTTTTTGTTCTCTTTTATACTTATCCTATGTGACATTCTTCTCTTTACTTATTCTATAAGACAGTTTTTGTTCTCTTTTCTACTTATCCTATGTGACATTCTTCTCTTTACTTATTCTATAAGACAGTTTTTGTTCTCTTTTATACTTATCCTATGTGACATTCTTTTCTTTACTTATTCTATAAGACAGTTTTTGTTCTCTTTTATACTTATCCTATGTGACATTCTTTTCTTTACTTATTCTATAAGACAGTTTTT